GTTAACATTAATTAACAAAAAGTTTCACTTAAAATTCTGAAACATCAATTTTTATGGACAAAAAAAAGACTCAATACATCAATCAATTTTCATGGAATGAGGAAATAGTTCTTACAAACAATACTAAATGGGGGAAGAAAATGCTTGAGGCCTGAAAGACACCGGTTCAATACGGTTTATAAGTTTGATTAACCATTGGTATTGGCGGTTTAATACAGAAGAGGCCAATTTAGAACACTGACCCAAAAAAATAGAAACAGTGAAACCAAAGAACAACATTAACAGATATAAAACAAAATCGACCAACATTTGAAGAACAGTCTCCTCAAGGGTTCCTCTGCTCCATTTTCTTCACCGCCAAGCTTCAGTACGCTCTACCCTCGAACCTACACGGCTCAAGTTAGTCAATCCTTTTGTTCTTCCCACAGGCCACTGAGCCGGAGGAGCCAGTGTCAGCACCTGAAGACCTGAGTCACTCAATCTCTCGGTCCTGCGTTTTCCATACTCTGATTCTCTCTGTTCACACGCATTATTCTCTAGGGTTAGCTCATCCGATATCTCACTGCTTGAACTCTGATTTTCTGCATTTTCGGTGTAGTCTGGTTGCGTCTCTTCACTCAGCTCAATGGTGTTAAAACCCAAAGACTGTGAAGGGCTTTGGTGACCGCTCTCATCAGAAGGTTCTAAAGGGAATACGTGAGCTTGCTCAACCACCGAGTCTTGCCTTTCCCTTAGTGTTTTTTCGATTAGTGTCTTGAGGAAGTTCATCACTTGAACCGCATACATCAGTGCTGTCAATGGATCATCCATCTACAAGAAGAGTGTTTCTTAATCAATTTTGTTTAATCCGACCCACATGCGTAAAACGTTAATAATAAACCTTGTTGTGGCAGACTCACCTGTGTCATATTGGGAGCAAAAACCATTGCGATGTTACGTGAATTCATCTTGTTAAGATGTTCGTGCTGTACAACATCAGCCATTAGATTGATGGCCCAATCAAGCAGAGAAGCTTCTGTAGGTGGAAGAAGCCTAACAAGCTCCACATATTCCTCTTCTGTTTGGCACTGCATCACCTCTTCGGGCGACAACGAATCAAGAACACTGGTCGGTAGTTCTCTAAACCATGCCTGAAACCGAAATTAGAACACAAAATTTATATATATAATTTCTGTGAATGAAAAGGTGCTTGAGCAAACACTACATACCTTGATAAGCCCTGCCAAACAGTGAACATCGACTCGCTCAGGTGTAAATCCTCGGTTTAGTTGCTCCCTAACCGCCTCTTCCTCGCTATTCTCAGCAGTGAGTCGAAAAATTCCCTCTACCTGAAAAAAAAATATGAAAACGTAACAAAACGGAAAGCTTAAAAGATATTCACTTTGGAGGAAGCTCAATGAACAAAATATACCTGCAAGCCTCCTTGACCATATAAACAGTTTTGCATCAACAAGAGTATGGTTGGTACACAATTGCCTCTTGAATCATATGATAATTGCATTGATTCGGTTGATACCCCAAAGACTGTTGCACTAACATAAAGATAGCAAAAACGAGGTAAGAGATGAGATAGAAAGCGAGAGAGAAATTATATTAGAAGCTTTTCCCCCAGAAGAGCGAAATAGTAAAATGCATAGGCGCAGTTCTCCCTGTTTTTAACATGGATCTTATCGATAAAGCGAGTAAATAGTTGGACGAACAATGCAACCTTCGCATAATCTCTAACTCCAACTAAAAGATCATAATATAGACATCAAATATCAATCTCTCGATCGTCAAACTGTTGTTAGAAAGAATCAATTGATGCTATCTGAGATGCATTCACATTGGTCAAATAGCCCAATCTTGGAACGATTTACAACAGAAATGAGGCAATATTAAGCGTTTAGTTGCAGCTATAACATACAGCTCCAAGCTTCTGATGAGACTAAAAACCTAGAGAGCCAGGAATGTGATCTAATCATCATGTACTGACTTAATAAAGGAATCTAATTGAGTAAGCTATTTATCTTTCTGGTTATACAACCAAGCATTGAGCCCCTAACTAGAGTTTATACAGACAAGGAAGCATTCTTTATCTTTATACAACCGAAGACGCAATGTGAGATTGGATTCTTGACGTAGCTTAGAGATGAATCAGAGCCTAATTTCAGAGCAATTCAACAATAATAACCTTTAGACACCATTTCTTAAGAGGTTACAAAAGAGAGCTAAGAAGCCCAAAAAAATCCTCAAATCCTAATCAAAAGAGGGAGATTGAACAATGTACCTGGCGCTTGGAGCTCTTCTTGGAACCTCAGGCTCGAATTCAACAGGCAAACCCAAGAAGCCATTGAAGCGATCGAAGGTAACGTGAGCCACGTGTCGGACATTGGTCGGCCATCCGATCTCCATGCTACAAAGCTCCCTCCGATTACTCTTGCAAGAAATCAGAGATCTTCTGAAAACGGCGACTAGAAGAGCCAACAGAGATATCTGATCTTCCCCTCCTCCGTCGTCTTCTTCATCGTTGCTCCGTCTCAAATCTTGCAATTGTTGTTGTTCTTCGATTGAACCGTGAAAGTCAACATCTTGCGCGAATCCAGGAACTCGGTTTCTCCGTCGATGGTCAGATGGTGAAGATGAAGAAGGAGAAGCACTTGGAGACGAAGGAAAGTGAAGAACTTCAGTCATGGTGGTTCCAGATGTACAAAAAAGAGGGCTTTTTCAGATTCACACC